CAGATTTCTGTAAGAGGAGGAGAGTACCTTAGATTCAAGTCCAAAGCATCATATTACATCTCCCAGAGGGTCGGTTCCAGACAGACAGAAGCATGAGAAACATGTACAGGTACACCGGGGAAAGACGGGATCCCTTTTCTTAAAATTTGCAACTCCGGTACTCTTAGCTTGTGCAGCTACACAGTTCTTTCAACTCCTCCAAAGTGAGAAAGAAGATGCAGTGCTGCAAAGTAGCTAAAGTATGTATACATACGTATCTCAAATCACATTCTTTCATGCAGGATCATTCTCATCGTAGAGCAAAAGGGGTGAGAGAGGACTAACCTACATCTTTTCTCCTTCCATGAGGACGAGGACTGGCCTCATAACTCAAAGGAGGTTTTCACTTTGCAAGACATGCCAAGTTCATCACTTTTAAGACAAAGTATTGCTCAGCCAGACCTCTACTAGCAAAAGATCACTCACCTAAACAAAATATGAATCAGTAACTTCAAGCTATCTTTGGGGTTTGCCTGCACTGCAGTTGCTCTTGTGACTGCAGTATCGTAAACCATAAACCGACTAACCTAAGAAGCAACAGCCATAGCACCTAGTTTAAAGTATGCTCAGACAGTTGCAATATAGACATACTGCCAGACTCAAGCTTATAACCTTGCTAGTTAACAAACAATTTATGTCAGAGAATCCTTTCAACACCAAAGATACTATATCCCATATAATATCAAAACAATTAATGATTTACTGTAGCTTTTTAAAATCTATTTTAATAATGATATAAAAAAAAAAGAGCAAAAATACCAATTCCAGTGAAGCCTAAGCCATGAACTGATAGGAAAAGGAAAGAACAGAAAAACAACCCAATTCCAACTAAACCTAAGCCATAAACCGCACACCTAGCTTATACATATTACTGAACAAGTCATTTAAATTAACTGGTTTGATTTTAGCAATTATAATTTGTAAGACAAGACTTCCTCTAAAGCAATAAAGCTTACACTGAAATAAGAGAGAACAGTACCTTCCAGTCTTTGAATTTTAGCTTTCACGGAAATAACTGTTTCAAAGGGGGAAACGCGCAGTTCAAAGCACGTTCCTGTGAGCGTTTCAATGAAGAGCTCCATGGTTTCATAAAAAGGAAGCTTGTAGTGAAACGGTCCCATATTATCTTCATTGAAAAAAGGAGGCTCTTTCTTGTTGGCCATTACAAAGGATTTACAGCTTCTTTGTAAGAAGATCTGTCAGGAAACTACGTTCCACTTCGAGCCAAGTCAGCTTTGAAGACAGGTGTGGTGCATTGCTGTTCATGTTTGGGATTTTTCACCTATAAAGCAAACAAGCGTAGTTCTAACAAGATCTGAACGTAGCCGTTAAAGAGTTTCAATTTATTTTGACGAACAATAAAATAGCTATTAAGAAGCAGTAAAATAGTATCTAGGTCGTGCAACAGATAACCGCAAATGGTATTAGTAACATCGTAGTTTTGGGACCCTGGTTTCAGTCAGCATTCCAGGTCCTACCTACTACCTTTTTATTTTGTTTTCACGAGCGACGTGACAACCCGACCCGCGATATTAACGCCCAAAGCCTCCCGACGAGGGCTGAGCCCTCAGCGGGGTCAGAGCTGGAAAAAAAAAACTCTAGAAAGACATAAAAACAGGGACTCGTCCGGGCTCGGGGAAGGCAGAGGAGGAGACGGCAGCTTCGCCCCCTCGGCA